CCCCCCCCCCCCCCCACACACACACACACACACACACACATACACTGACATGGTGAATGTAATTAGGATACATGTTTGGAGCGGTGTGCACCTTAAGCTCCCAAATGAAACAGCCTAACCTCTCTGGTCTCTGCAGACCGTGCACACTGTCAACATGCATGACTTTAAACTGGACCAAAAACAACAAGCATCTCTTATCCAACGTCTTTATTTCCTGTGGTGGATGAGTGGTTCTGTTGGGATGAGTGGTTCTGTTGGGATGAGTGGGTCTGTTGTGTTGTCTACAGTTAAAATTGTTGTTTACCTTTTTGTTTGTTGGTTAACGGAGCAGAGAAGCCGTTTTCCTTACTGCCCACAGAAAGTAGTCCCACTCAGTCTGTTGGAAGCTTCGTGCTGCGGCTCTCACCAGCAGACGACCCGTTTAAACACGGTGCACATTTAGTTTTCTTGATTTCTGCATCAACTCCAGTGAACTGGGATAGATTTTCAGTTCGTTTGTACCTGGCTGCTCCTGCTCTGAGCGTTGAAGCAGCCTGGCTCAGGTCAGTTTAAACGTTCTCACAGATAGATCCCCTCGTGCGAGAACGTTTCCATAACTCTGTGGATAAATGCAAACCCGTAAATGTCAGAACTGATGTGTTCGTGCTCTGCTGAGTGCGTTCTGTTAGCATCTTGACCGCTCCTCTTTTGTCCTCCTTAAAGCTGCGCAGACATTAGCGTCGGCTCTCGTTAACGCGTGGCACGGTTGTGCTTCCTGAGACGATTTAAAATTGTAAAAACAAACATGGACTCGGGCTCCACGGGGTTTAACTGCGCCGCCTCTCGTCTTTTTGCACACACTATGCGACGTGGCTGTGCTGCTGCCGTTCAGCTCAGTCAGCACACGGTCCCGTCGTGAAGCTCCACGCGTTATTTTACATTCAACTCTTTTCTGTTTGCATGTGTGGCCTGTTCCTCAGATTTAAATCTTACCGTGGAGCACTTAAACACAAGCCACAGATTTATACTAAAGTTCAGCTGTTCGTGTGCATCGTGACTTTAAGTGAACCCCTCTTTCATTAAACAAAATGACAGTTAACCCCCCCTCCAGAAGAAATCTACATAGATAAGCACCAGGCTGTCTGCTGTCGTTTATCACTCTGCACGCTCAGTTTGTCTTTGTCTTCCAGACAGGGGTCTTCGAGGCTGCGACCTTTCTTTCACTCGGGTTATGCAGCTGAAATAAAAACACAACGGTCTCCCTCGTTTGAACTTTTAAACCGTTTGCTTGATGACGAGCTAACTGCACGATTTGTTTGAAGCTTTGGCTCGCTGTTGTCCAGAAACGTTGACTTTTTTATCGAGTGGACTCTAAATCTGCTGCATTTTAGTTTAGAAGTGAAGTGTCGGATTAAAAATCCTCTTTGGGATATGTTTGAAGATATGAAATGATGTTCTGCACACGCACACACAAACATAAGATTGAGAATTACAAGTTGTTCTCGTTGTTCAATGGTTAAATTGATTTGGTGTACATTCAATATATGTGATCCTGCTCACACACACACACAGGCTGTGAGCGTACACTGATCTTTTGAAACGGGGTTCTGTGTATGAACAAATAGCATCTTACCTGCTGTAGATAGCCATGTGAACCGCTTTAGACGGTTAAAGTGAGTTCAACTCTGGACCAGACCCCTGAGCTAAAGGCTAGGTGAGCCGGTCCAGGACCAAAGTGGGCCGCTGTGGTCTTAAAATGACTCCAGTCTCTGTTTGTTTGTAGCAGTTTATCTAAATGCTATCTTAAATTTTTTTTACATTGTCAGTTTTTATGGCTATTTACAAGCACAGGTATTGACAGCAGCAGCTAGCTGTAGCACTTCTGATGCAGCCTGAGAGACTTCTGGCAGGACTGTTACAGTATTTCTGCGGAGTCGACGTGTGACGCAACGTTCATGTTTGTGTAAATAAAAAGTCATTGCATATTTAGAGACGATGTGTTTTGTGTAGTGATGGGCAGAATGATTGATTGACACGTTTTGATTGTTCATGCTGGACGCTTCAGCTGTGTGGACTCGACCCATCAGGAACGAGGAGGAACGTGCAGCAGCAGCTGCTACAGCCTCTTCACTGTAGCCCAAGACTTAGTTTTTTGTAAGTGACGGGGCTGTTTTATGTTCGTATACATTTATAAGTTAACAGCCAAGCAGGTATTGTTGTCTTGTAAAGTGTCAAACCAAATATTAGTATATTCCATCGGCTGCTCTAATTCCTACAGATTAGCTGTTACAATGTCATCGCAAGCCAAATCGCTCCAGATGTTCTCCAGTTGATTCTGTGTAAACAACCACTTTGTGTTCAGATGATGGAAACACTGGAGACTCGTGTCATTCGCAAAGGTTCTCGGACCAAACACAGCTCGGTTCTGGCTGGGTGGAACTGGGTTGACTGGCCATCAGACGGTTGTTGTTGACCTGTTGTTTCATATCGGTCAACATTTGCTTCCTTGTTCTCCTGCAGACGAGCAGCAGGGTTTGCTGCACACACACACACACACACACACACACACACACACACACACACCCCTTGTGTTTGTTGTGTAACCCAGCGGTTCGGGTCGAGCGGTGACAGACCTGGTCTTCCTGTGTTTAAAGCAGCTAAAGTTCGATGTGCTTGTTTTTCAGGTCTTGTCTTGGCAATCAGCTCAGAGTTTTCCTGCCCTCTTGAAGTGTTTGCACTCTGATCCAGTTGGCTGTTTTATGTGTTGGGCTCGCTGCTATTGGTTAGTTCCCAGTTTATGAAGAGGAGGAGGAGGAAGAGATGACACATGGTGGGTTGTTTGCAGACTCTCTGAAGGCCACGGGCGTGGCGCTGCTCGTACTTCAGCAGGTTGGCTCAGGGAGGTGGTCTGCTGAATCTGCTGAACTCTGAACAAGTTTGAATATTTTAATAAACTTGTTCTGTTTAGAAAATTATAGCTGCACTATTATTTACAACTTTAATTATGGCTCTGCAAGTTAGTTTTTTTTTCTCTGGACCGCTCCTATATTCTCCTGCTCTTTGTATTCTGCATCATGTTCAACATGTTCTAGTGGTTTAGAGGCTCTGCTGCGCGATGGTTTTTCATAAGAGGAGCTCTGGCACTGGTTGCATAAAGCTGTTGGTGCGAGGCCAGCAGCTCTGTTGTTGATGCACAGCAACATTTTACATGCATTCAGGGTGCTTTTAGAAGAGTTTTAACTATCAAACGCTCCGTGTCTGTGCCTCCCTGTATGATGATTGAAGTGTTTTTCAGCTGAAGTTTCGTCTGTGGTTTGAACTCTTCACTCCAGGCTCTCTCTCTGTAGACCCACTTCTCCTTAAACAGCCTCCCGTGGCACCGAGGAGTCGTTCCACCTACTTCTGCTTTCCTTCTCGCCTGTTGACGGGTCACATGACCGCTCACAGATCCAACCACTCCATATGTAGTCAGGTCCACTCCTAACAGAAAACTGGTGTCAGCGTTTCTGCTGCGTGTGCTCCTCCTCCACCCTCGGCTGCGCTCTGTGCACGTGTCCTTGTTGCACACTTTAACTTGGTGGCTAAATATAGGGTTTCACCCTCGGAAGAGAAGTACGTGAAGCACTAACTTGACCTGCCTTTTGCTGGCTGGTAAATACGAACGTGGATCGCTGCCCCACTTGAAGAACAGACAGAATGTTAGGAAACAGCTGGATTCGTTAAAAATGATCTGAACTTTAATGTGCAAGCGGATCCCGTGAACTCTAGGTGCAGTAAACCAGTTCAGCATCCTACAGAACTTGTTTATAGGTCATATTTAATAAAAACGTGCAGACCATATGAGTGTTTACAGCTCAGAAACACAACAGGTTCACTAACGCTCGTTTCCTTCACGTTTTGTAGTTTTCTTCTTCGGTCAGCAGGCTGGCCAATGTTGGGGCTCTGGTAACCCCCCCCCCACACACACACACACACCTTTTTGCACAGTCTGGATGGTTGCTGGCAGGGCTTAATTTGTAAACTTGTCGATGCTGGAACGCAAATAGCAGGTGGAGTGTGTGGGGGAGAGGAGGAAATGGAGGGGGCTTATGGGTCCTCCTCCTTAAATTTTTGAATAAAGCAGATGCTATTTCCTGTACTTCCTGCATTTTGGTGTATTTTAACAAGTTGTTAAATATCTAGGTTTATCTACATAAGTAAACACGAGCAGCTTGGTTTCTGTCAAGGCAAGCATCTTGTCCCCCCCGTCCCCTCACCTTACGGCTCCGAGCCGACTCGTCTCTGCTGAATTCACTCATCCTCGTTGTTGTCCTCCTCCACAAGTAAAACCCCAAGGTGTATGGCGGCTGCCGGCGGAGGCCACTGGCTCTTGCCCATGCACTAAAGCCTGGTTAGCTCCGCACTCAGTGGCCACAACACTCGCTCCTCGTCCAGTATCTCCATCACCACTGTCTTCACGTGCTTCGATTCTCAGTTGTTTAGTTGGACAATGAGAAGCCCTTTTTGTAAAAAAAGAAAGTAAATTAGACTGACTGTCGTTTCGACATTTTGATCGTGGTAATTTTGAAAAAAATGTTGCAGTTGTTTTATGTCATGTTTAGGCCTGTCACGATAACAAATTTTGCTGAGCAATTAATTGTCTCAGAAATTATTGCGATAAACGATAATATTGTTTGAAAGTTGACAATAAGTAATTATTGTCAAATTTAAGAAGAAATGTCATTTTATTTTGTGTGTAGTACCTTTTTTGACCATCGCATGGCAGTACAAGACTGAACCAAAGGATGGATAGTGAGAGAGTGAGCAGCATGCCTCTAAGAAAAATGGGAGGGAGGCCCCTTGACCTGACATGGGGCTGTCTCTCGTTCATTGTTTTCCATTCTCAAAATGGTGGACACTCTGTTTTTTTTAGCTCTTTAGCATAGCATTTTTCACACAAAGCTTTTAATAAAAAATCAGTAAAAAAAAAAACAAGTTCTCAGCTTCTTTTAGCAGAAAAAAACAACTTTTTACACGAAGGCACAGATTTCAACCGTGAATTTTGGAGCTTC